ATATTGCTCGAGCATGCAGGGGAGTAATCAGGAAAGCCAAAGCATAATTGGAGTTGCAGCTAGCAAGAGATGTGAAGGGTAACAAGAAGGGTTTTCTTGTTAGCAACAAGAGGAAGGTCAGGGAAAATGTGGGACCCTTACTGAATGGGGGAGGCAACCTACTGACAGATGTTGTGGAAAAAGCTGAAGTACTCAATGCTTTTTTTGCCTCAGTCTTCACAGACAAGGTCAACTCCCAGACTGCTACACTAGGCAGCACAGTATGGGGAGGAGGTGAGCAGCCCTCAGTGGTGAAAGAACAGGTTAGGAACTGTTTAGAAAAGCTGGACATACACAAGTCCATAGGACTGGATGCAATGCATCTGAGGGTGCTGAGGGAGTTGGCTGATGTGATTGCAGAGCCACTGGCCATTATCTTTGAAAATTTGTGGTGATCAGGGGAGGTCCCGGACGATTGGAAAAAGGCAAATATAGTGCCCATCTTTAAAAAAAGGGAGAAAGAGAATCTGGTGAACTACAGACCGATCAGCCTCACCTCCTGGAGGAGGTCCTCAAGGAATCCATTTTGAAGCACTTGGAGGAGAGGAAGGTGATCAGGAACAATCAACATGGATTCACCGAGGGCAAGTCATGCCTGACCAACCTGATTGCCTTCTATGATGAGATAACTAGCTCTGTGGATATGGGGAAAGCAGTGGACTTTAGGAATGCTTTTGATATGGTCTCCCACAGTATTCTTGCAAGAAGTTAAAGAAGTGCCACCAGTAAATGATGGCACCCGGCATTAGGTTTCCATGTCAAAATGTGGAAACAGCGTGTCACAGAGTTGCCATCCCTGTGTGCCCCTTGTGGCTGGACATGGTGAGGAGTTTCTCCACAATGATCTTCAGCCAACTTCCAAAATAGAGGTGACCTGGCCCCACAGCCAACCCATTCTAAAGTATTCTACCCTTCCCAGGGTAACAGTCACTTCAGGCAAGTCTACACTTAAAACGCTGCATCAGTGCAGCTGCACCAATGCAGCTGCTCTGCTGAAGCACTTTAATGAAGATGCTCTATGCTGACGGGAGAGAGCTCTCTCATTGACACAGCTAATCCACCTCCCTGAGAGGTAGTAGCTATGTTGGCGGGAAAAGCTCTCCTACGGATGTAGAGCCGTCTACACAGGCGCTGTCATAAACATACAGCTAAGGGTAGCACAAAATCCCTCCTTTACCTGTAAAGGGTTAAGAAGCTCAGATAACCTGGTTGGCACCTGATCAAAAGGACTAATAAGGGGAGAAGATTCTTTCATCTGTGGGGGAAGGTTTTTGTTGTGTGCTTCTTTGTGCTCTCTCTGGAACAGCGAGGAACCAGGGCACAGAAAATACATCTCCTAAAGCCATACCTGAACTAGGCATCTAAGATTACAAATTGTAAGTAATAGGAAGGAAATGCGTTAGATTATCTTTTGTTTTAGCTTGTGAATTTTCCCTAGGCTAAGAGGGAGGTTTATTCCTGTTTTGTTTTGGGGTTTTTTGTAACTTTAAAGTTTTGCCTAGAGGGGAATGCTCTGTGTTTTGAATCTGATTACTCTGTAAAATTACCTTCCATCCTGATTTTACAGAGGTGCTTCTTTTTCTTTATAATAAAGTTCTGTTTTTAAGAACCTGATGGGTTTTTAGGGCACTAAAAACCCAAGGGGCTGGTCCGTGCTCACCTTGTTTACTCTCAAACCTCCCCAGAAAAGGGGGTGAAGGGGTTTGGGGGGATATTTTGGGGAAGCAGGAACTCCAAGTGGTCCTTTTCCTAAATCTTTGACTAACTCACTTGGTAGTGGCAGTGATACCGTTCCAAGGACAAGGAAGAATTTGTGCCTTGGGGAAGTTTTTAACCTAAGCTGGTAGAGATAAGCTTAGGGGGTCTTTCATGCAGGTCCCCACATCTGTACCATAGAGTTCAGAGTGGGGAGGGAACCCTGACGTGGTGGCAGAGTGGTGGGATCATTTTGAACCAGAAGCACAAACCTCAGGATATTAGAAGGACTTTTTTTCTTCTTTTGGCTGCTTGGGAAGCAGGGAGGATTTTTTTTGTTTTTGTTTTGTTTTGGTTTTTGTTGTTGTTGTTGTTTTAAAGGACACTTTTTTTTAAAAAAAAAAAAAGGCTGAGAGCAGCTGGTGGGTTTTTTTCTTTGCCTGAAGGCAGAGGAGTTAAGTTACAGCAAGGGAATTCACAAGCTATTTTTTTTATTTGTTTGTTTTGTTTGTTTGTTTTCTAGCTCTCAGGTTAGGCTAGGCTAAACAAAGGAAGGCTAGGATTACAGAAAGCGATGTCCAGAGAAAACTAGAATTAGCCAGATTTGAAGCTGAAGAGAGACAGAAAGAACATGAAAGGCAGATGGCCTTAAAGAGTTTGGATTTGGAAGCGGAGGCAGAGGCAAAACGCTTGGAGACAGAGCTAAAGCTGAAGCGCTTAGATCTGGAAAGGGCTAAGATGGGTCTTCCGGATAATCCTAACAATCCTTCCCCAAAAATCCACAAATGGGAGCGAATATGTCCACAGTATAATGAATCCAGTGATATTGCTGAATATTTCATCACCTTTGAGAGACTGCACACTCCATGCAATTCCTGGAGATCACAAGATGACCACATGGGTAGCAAAATTGACTGGAAGAGCTCTGGACATATTCAACAAGATGCCTATTGAGGATGCTTCTGACTATGGTAAATTTAAGGATTTGATTTTGAAACAATTTCAAATTACAGCTGAAACTTACAGAGTAAAATTTAGAACCCTTAAGAGAGGGCCTGGACTAAATAATGTGGCTTATGTAAACCAGATGAAGGATCTGTTAGATAAATGGGTCAAAAGAAGGGGTGTAACTAGCTTTGAAGGGATGTGTAATTTGGTTATACAGGAGCAGTTCCTGACTATGACCAGTGATAATATAAAACAGTGTCTATGGGATAAGAAAATGGACTCAGCAGAAAGTCTTGCTTCTTATGCTGATCAATACGAGCAGTCCCAGACCATCAGAGAGGTGGGGCAAATCGGAACAAAACGGGTGGAGGTAGCAGAGAGGAATAACCCTGGTCACAGTTTGGGCGGATACCAGAAGGGATACCCTGAGACCACACCATACCACCAGGGGCAGCCCAAAGCCCCAGTTACACCCCAAGGAAAACCCCAGACACCTTTTCGTCCCACCACACAATTCTCCAGCAAGGCACCTCGCCCCAGTGACCAGTCAGTTGGGCGATGTTTTAAATGTAACGAACAACCAGTCTCTTCTTCTTCCCAGACAGCCCTCAGCTGCTGGGCTTCCCTCCTCTTAAAACGAACACTTAGCACAGGGGTAGTAGGGCAGGGCTAACTGAGCCCAGGGCTGCTCTGTAACTCCTCCGTAGTTGGTGTGCCTACTCTGTCATATGGTGCCACTAGCAAAATGTGAGACACCTTCCCCACTATTGACTGGTCCACAGGAAAAAAAAAAAAAAAAAACTTCTATTCTACATGACACTGGTCTGCAGATTTGAGGGTCCAGCAGTCAAATCCTCCTGACAGGATGAGTGGGGTTCTTGTAGTTGCATGTGATGGCATTTGTTGTTCTAGGTTTTTCTTGGTATGGCTATGTAATTCACACAGCAGGAAAACATGACGTGCAATGAAACACATGTTCCACATTTTGATAATCTGACACACATTTGAGTTTCTGGCAAATGGGAAAGTAGAAATGTAGGCTGGACTATATGAATGCAAGTCACTAGGCCCAATCCTGCTCTCTGCCGCAGGGGTGTTAAAGTACTCCCATGTTGCTCAGTGGATTTATGCTTCTGTAAACTGCTCTGTGAGGAGAAGACCTCACTGGAGTTGGAAGAAGGGGTAGAAAAAGAGTTCCGGATGGGGAGAGGAGAAAAGGTTTTTCTTTTATGTATATAAATACAACTGGGGCAGGTGCTAGTGCCTTTTTCCAATACAAATCTGATCCACTCTCTGGAATGGACAAGTTATCCCAGTATCTGGAAAGAAATCACGGTTGCATCAAAATTTGGGTAAACTATTGTGGTACCAACCTTTTCCCCCCAGAAAGAGACCAGAATATGGAAATGCAATTTAGAAATAGTTACTGGGGCATATCAAGTGCAGCTATGGAGTAATTTAGAAGGGGGGGGGGTGGAATTTGTGTTCAAGGTAAATTCAGGCTGTGGGGCTCAAAGACATCACACTCTGGTCCTAATAGAAAGGCCTATTAATGGGAAAAGCAGACAAAAATAGCAAGGTGACATATATGGTACGCCCTGTGAAAGTGCTTTTGATGAGGTAATAGAAATGCCCCAGAATTCTTGAAAAACAGGAGTGCATGGAACTCATGTCAGAGGCCTGGTTCAAAGCATCTGAGTACAGCTGGGGAGGACTGGTACCTAATTAAATTTAGAAAAACACCCAGCCACTAGTTGTAATAAGTCTTTTCTGTAATAAAAAATATGGAAACAAGTTAGTGTGTGTGAAACACGAATGTTGTAACAGCCTCACTGCAATGTAATTCCATAGGTACACATTAAAATCCACCTCAGTAGGGAGAAGCCACTACTGACTTAAGTCTGACAAAGACTGAAGGTGAGTCAAAATCTTCTTAAAACTATGGTCAGTATTTTTCTAATTTTAATTTTGTATGTTTCAAATCTTGGGATGAATGGGATAAGCATGCATGCATATTAATTTAATGTTCATTATAAATCTGCACTGAGTTTGAATTAATCTCTCCACCCTGGAGGTGGCCCCTCTAGATCAAGGTTGAGGTACATGGTGAGGCTGGGGTAGGGGGAATGGAGCATTGGGGAAGTTTTCACTACTTCTGCCTGTGCACCACGTTCTGTGGACTTTGGCTGACTTGAACGTCAGTGTGTCACCTTTCTCAAGCACTAAACTCATGAAAAACAGGAAGAAAAACAGTTATGCACCAAAGAAAATTACATTCTTTGAAAACAGATGTAAAAAGTGGTCTAAAATGAGCCTAATTAATACTTAATAGTTGATTTATTAAGACCTTCCTACTAATATACTTTTCCTATTAACAATAAGTAGGTACATTTTGTCAGAAATTTAGTTATCTATGTTTAGTAATTTATGATAACACATTGTACAAGAAAAAAGGCACTAAAATGTACAGCTAGTCACCCTTATTACAAACTCTGAGTTTCCTCAGCTGATGACAGTTTTTGAATAGCTTCCTCATGTTACTCCTTATACATTTCTTACATCCTGAACCATTACAAAGTATACATTTTAGAGCCCTACTGAAAAATAAGCTTTTGTCCCCTTTAATAACTTTTTCTATGGGAAAAACAATGAATTTTGCCATGAAAACTACCTACACAATAAAGATAATAAAAAATTCCCTGTTCCTCACATTTGCAAAAAAAGTTAAGCACAGGTTCCCTCCCTGGTTATGGCAATTAAAAATGTGGGCATAACAAGTTTAAAATAAATTGCTTTCAAAAATTTCCCTACATACAATTCCAGAAACTAATTCTGTGAGGGGAAGAAATAGCTTTGGTGGTGTTTGAGGTACTAAAATACTAACTCAATACTTTACAAATAGGTAAGACAACTGAGGCAGCTAGATTAATAAAATCAGACTGGCTCAATGAAAAACTTCAGGCCAAAAAACGGTTTTGGTCCAATGAATAATATATAAGTTTCAATGTAGTTTTAAAAACTCACTGCATCTTCAATAAAAGCCAAAGACCACAAGAGATATAATCTAATACTCTGTTAAAATACATAGTATCAGAAAGAATTTACACATTTTCAGATATTTTTATAACAAACTTGCCAGTACTTAAATGCTAATTTTGTATTAGATGCTCACCAACTATAGAAGCACAAACACTGTACAATGTAATTTGTACATTGTTAAAATACAACAGACTCTAATATTACATAATAAATACAACCCAGTGTAAATTAAGAATGGCTGCCTGATGGTTTGACCAGTTGCGCAAGAAGCACTAAAAAGTGAGGCACCTAGATTCAAGTTTTCTCTTGGTATTCTCCAGCTCTTGGGCTGGCAGTATTTTGCCAATCACATTTTCAGTCTCTGCATTATCTGTAGCACTCTCAGAACACAGTGAAAGTGCGCCATTTGGTTTTAAAAGATCATAACAGTCCCCGTGACCAAAGAGATTCCACAGCTGGTGAAACATAGGTGCAAAATAAGGTAAGTCTCTGCAGGATAAAATAAAATGAAAGCGGAGAGAACCTCTCATTATAACCTTCAACACCACCCTGAGTCGTTGCCATGGGAAAGGAAAAGCTGACTTTTCTGGGGGAAGGTAAGCCTTCTTAAAAAGGGGCCACCCCACTGTAGCTCTACAGGGCTGGCAGTATGGGTACTGATAGCATCAGCACATTTTAGAGACAAAAATTTTCACCCCAAGCATTCTTGCTTTTCTTCCCGTGCATATTCGGAATTGTAAACGATTCCATAAAAACTCATGGCACCTAACAGTCAAATGTATATTAAGTGATTCTCATTGGTTTGTCAGAGAATGCCTCAAAGATCACAGAAAGAAGTTAAAGAAAAACTACACACAAAAATCATTTTACACAAGAGGGATTATTTTTGTTCCTTGTTGAGTGGAATTTTCAAAAGGTGCCTAAGAGAGTTAGGGCCCCATCTTGCACTGAAACTCAATGGGATCTGTGGGCATAAAGCTCTCACATTATTTTTGAAAATCCCAATCATAGTTTTGAAATGGTGGCTTTTCAAAAGCGTTGAGCACACACAACTCCAACGGACGTCAATGGGAGCTCAGCACCTATAGCTTTGCCAGTAATGCTGGATGCCACTCAGTCACAAAACAACACACTGACATTATTATTGAAAGGGCAAAAAATAAAACATAAAAAAGAAGAGTTAATTAGGCTGATGTATTCTAATTCTGCAGGAACTGAATATCTTGATATTTGCATTTATGGTTTAGCTATTTTTCAGTAGGGATCTAAAACAATATGACACCTGGACAGCCAGGAACTGAAATAGTAAGAAAAGACCAGATCTCTCCTCATTTCCACCTGAGACACTTAAAAATCAACAAGATGGACAATATAAAAATAAATACAAATATACACAGATGATAGAAGCCCATAAAGGGTTGAAGTGGTAAGTAGAAAAAGCTTTTTAATATTATGCTGTTCATTTTGTTAACTTGCTTTAATATATACTATATACAGGGTGGGGGCTGCTAACGTCATTTGCCATTTGTTAGAGTGTGTCTACTTCAATGGCAGTTGCCAAGATAATAGTGGGAATGAAAGCATGGTGTATATTAGGTATTGGGTAAGTGGTATGATTAATGTAAGTGACCTAAAACTGTACTTCTTACTCTAATGGAATCTTTATTAATTGCTATTCTTATTAGTTGAGTGCAGTCTATATACTTTGCATTGTAATCAGTCTGGAGGTTTGGAAGAGATTAATCCACACTGCTTTATAATCAATTATAAAAAACATAATTGTTTAGTGCCCAGAAGCCTCTGGACAACTTAGTAGGAAAATAATGAACAGCGATGGACCAAATTCAGCTCACAGCTCTTTCCATACAAACTAACGGGCATCATTGGGATTACATAGGTCTAACTGAGAGCAGGCAATATTCAGTTGTCTTGAACTCAGTCTGAAAGTGAAGTTAAAAAAAACAGATACAGTACTAAGAAGGAATGAGACAGTAGTAGAGATATAGCTATTAGCAGCTTATTGATAACACCTCAAACCATGCCACCTTATCAGTGAGACGCATAAACTCGTACATATTTAATGACAATAAAACTGACCCCTGTAGGATGATGGGCCTCCATGCTTATAAAACTGAAATTGGGCAATAATTGGATAGGACATTGTGGTTTCTTGAGCAGAGGCTGACCCACAGTATATTTTCATTAGGTCAACACTACTCTTCATCAAGGAAGCACTGATGATGACTTCCATCACAGGGGAAATTCAGTTTGGAGTAAAACACCAAATCTATCAAATAACCCACTTGATGTTTACTTTCTGTAACATAATGGGTGGAGTTTATGGATTTGACAGTATCCAAAAGTATGCCTATAAAGCATAACAAAGAAAGCAAACACACTTACAATTCCAAAGTACATAAAAACAAACAAATCATGTATCTAATTAAATAATAAACACTATCTAAAATCTAGCTGACTTTAGTTCTGATTTTTTTTAAGGGAGAGAATTCTCTAGTTTCTGTCTAGTCTGCTCTTAGCAGGGAAAGGAAGGGGAAAAGATGATTTCTAGCTATTCTAAAATATTGGGAAGTTTCTTCAAGATCAGTCAGAAGACTGGACAAAGATACTGTTCAGTTCTTATCAGTCTGATCATCCACTGTGACCCAACTGCATTCCCCCATCAACACAGCTGATTATCTCCCTTAACTGTCCAATAGGCCCTCCTCCTCATTCTCTTTCCTTGATTGTTGTGCCCAGCACATTTGGCAGCTTGCCTGCTAGACTCCAACTATCAGAGAAATGATTCTCAAATACCTTTGGCACACAGAATGCATTCTGGGGCATACAACCATCAAACATACATAATTTCCATTCAGTATAATTTGGGGACGAGTAGAAAAGTCTAGCACTTTTAGCAGCCAGTTATTGTTCCTGCCAGAAAGGGTAGGTACCTAGATCCCCAAAGAAAAGTTGACCAGAGGCTGGGTATGAGGGATATGTAGTCCATCTTCTCAAAGGAAAGCTGTTTTGAGGAGGGTGGAGAAAGGGGAGCCTTCGACATCTGTGAATGTCTTAGGACCATGTTTGTAGGTGCAGAGCAATTCAGCTGACTCATACTGATAGCCAGATTAGGTGGGTCTCTTTATAATCAGCTCAGAAATCAACACTCAGCGGCTCTCTGAGACAGGAGAGCTAGAGGTAGATAAAAGGAAGTCCTGCAAGGAGAAACCACAGAATTAAGTCAGTTTGAGAAGAAGCTAGGAAAATTGTCTGTGGTGAACTCTTTGCATTCCTGACCCAGAGCTTTGTTTGGTATGGTTAGTGTCTCAGACAAAATACAAATAAAATAAAAAATACAAACAAAGGCAAACCTTGGGAATATGTTTTTTTAGGAAAGACTATACTGTGAGGACATATTGTGGATCTGGCCCATTCACAAACTCCCTTGAAAGATAAACTGCTGGCACTAGAGGAAAGAACTTTGGTATCCCATGGAGTATATCAAACACAGTGCAGCCAGAGGGAGAAGACTCGAGGTACTGAAGGGAGGAAGCAATGGACTGTGAGAACGTTGTAGTGAGGAAGGCATCAACAAATGTGTCTAAGTATCTGAAATTTTGTAGGCATATCCAGTGTGGAAACAAACAGAACCTTCACAACTTCTAATTAGTACTGAAATGGTAAGAAAGGTAGTAACTTTACTTTAAAAGCTTTTAAAGAGAAGTTTCTCTTATTTGCTGTACTCTTTTGCCCTAGCAAATATTAAATTTGTTTCGTGCTACCAATGTGAATGATGATATGGTAGGAATCTTAATGCCTTCAGCACTACAATGATAAAACATTCAGAGCCACAACCCGTAATTTTTTTTTTTTTTTTTTTTTGCTCTTTTATTATGCCATAAAGTCTATCTACATTCCCCTGGGTACTTGCTTTACATCTAAGTGAACTGACTTGTTCTGTGCAATTCCATGTTTAAAAAAAATATAAAAAAAGCAAGATCCCCCTGGTATTCAAAAGCACCAAAATAATTCTATGAGTTTGGAAGAGCAAAGAGCACTGTGCATGTTTCTACTGGCATAAAATTGGTAGTTCTTTTATTTTTACAGTTGGCAACAAGTTCTCTTCATTCTTCAAAATTATTGACCATCTGCCTTGTATAAAATTTCTTAAATCATGTTAACATTTCTCTCATATTATTCTACCATCTTTTTATTGTGTTTGTTTTACTAATCTAAATATATTAATTTTAGTAATGCATTAATACTCACATTACAAAGATATTGTGGTTACCTCTTTATATCTGACCGGAGACAGAAAGAGAAGAAAAGGTGGATGGTGTCCAAAGTATTTACAGAAAGGCATGTACAGTGAGATAGTTTGATAATGAGACAGACAGCAGGAACTCCACTGAGTAAGGACACAAAGTATGAAAAACACAAAGTGTAACTGCTATCTGTGCCTGACACATACAAAACATCTTTGAATAAGCTACCCACATGTAGGAAACCACAGGACTGAACTTATGGTGGACTTTACTAGTTTGGCACACAAATAAAACATGCATCAGAAGAATTATGGAAAAAATATGTCTTTAGGAGGAACTGTTCAAAATTTGAGACTAAAAAAACAAAAACAAGTAAGGAGGAATGGAAATGAAACAAGAGAGAAACAATACAACAGGTCCTAGAGATATTAGGGGGGAAAAAAGATTATTCCACTTGAATGGTGAGGCCTATGAGTAGGGCTCTGGAGGAGGAACTTTCCATGTGAATCCTTCATGGAGATTCCTCCCACATCATCCAAGGATCAATGGAAGGCTAGGGCCATCTATGCAGACACTGCTGCTGAACCAGCTCTGGTTCTGAGGGAGGGCTCAGCTGAAGAGATAACATACAGCCCAGGGCCATAGTCTTTCCTGTCTGAGCTCTGCAGAGCTGGACTGGAAACAACATTTCCCTCCACTCCCTTCTTTCTTCTAGGTTGCCCAGTCTTCCCCACTTCCTTTGCCAAGTCCCCGAAGTGCCCCTCATGGGGTCTTGCGGAATGTGTAAGTGACTGTGCTATGCAGTAAGTGGAGCCGATTTTCCATGCAGAAAGGAGAAGATCTATGCAAGGACGGTCCACTCTGTGCACAGATCTTGGGTTGAGTATGATCAAAGCCAAAGGCAGAAAACAGCAAAATGAGATTCTAACCTGGAAATATGAAAGCTTGTATTGCTGGGGAATAATAAATGAAACAGATCTTGAGAGACAGAAATTTTGAAACAATGCAGAAAAAGACTTACATGTGACAGTGGATAGCAAGTTAGATGAGCTCCCATTTGATATGGCAGTAAAAAAAGTCAATGTGATAGTGGACAGTATAAGCAGATGCATCATGTCATGGCCAGGGAGAGGACAGTTTCTCTCTGCATGAACAAACAGACCACAACTGGAACTCTGGGCCAAATACCTCACTGGTATAAGATATCATCCTTGGAGTTAAACCAGGGATAATTTTGGCCCATCATGTTCAGTTCTGGGTACTTTAATACTAGAGAGATGTAAACAATTTGGAGGAAATTCAGAGAAGAGAAACAAATAGTTTAGGGCTGCTGGGATTTACTTATGAGAAAAGATTTAGAAAAAACCTAAGAATCTTGGCCAAACAGCTAGTGGAGGATATTAGGATGTAAGCCAGAAAGAAGAGAGAGGAACAACTTTTAGTGTTTTCCAAGGGTATATATATTAGGACTAAAGAGGATAGACCCAAACAAATGACAATTTAAGCTTAATACCAAGGGGAAATTCCTAGCAGTGAGGTCTATTTTACTAGGTAATAATCAATCTCTCAGCCAAGTGGTGGAAACCCCATCACTCAAGTCATTTAAAACTAGCCTAGATAAAGTACTCAATAAAGACAATAAAGGGAATAATCATTCTGTAAGTCTAGCTGGATCCTTCTATTCCAAGTGTGGGTGGCTATATGATCAGTAAGACTTCCTTATATAAATAATGTTCCAATGTCCCCAGACATCTTGTGGTACTCAATACCATGTCCCTAGGCATAATACTCACATTAGCTATCCTTTCCTTAAGCTCTTTATCTGGGTTCTTTCCAAACCTTCTGCTATACGTTTTTACAACAGTGACTGAATTCAAAGTCCCTCTTGCCCACTCTAAATGCCGTACATTTTGGTTTCATAATTAATACAAGCACTTCTCTGTGCGAATAAGGCTCTAAGAGTGTATATCCAATCTGAGACATCACCAACTTGGTAATCTGAAAATATGCATAATTTAAATGAATTTATTTGGAATATAAAAATAAAAACAACGTATCTCATCAGCAGTGCTATCACCATAAAGAGTCAAAAATGAGGTGATATCACAATCTCCTTGGAGCATGCTGTATTGTCTTCTAGGCCCAACCCCTTCAAATCCACATTCTCTCTTCACTCCTGCTCCCTCCCCAACTCTCAAGATGTCTCTTTTCCTCACCTTCTGATACCATTTTTATGCTGTGTAGTTTTGAGTGGTTTTCAGTCAGTAGCAGTATGAGAAGGGCCTTGTCAGTGTGACACTAATATATATTCTCCTCCATCCCACCTTTTATCATAGGTGAATGGGCCATCACCATCTCCACTCAAAGCATTCTCACCCCCTAAACCACAGATCATGACCTCAGACCAAGAATTGTCCTCTGCAATCCCAATTCTCCTCTTTAATTCCCCCTACCCGGAGTCATAGATTATTGCCCCACACTCCAACACTGTGTTCCTTTCAGGCCAACAGAATTAGTACCCCTGACCCCACTGTCTTCTCCTTCCTACAGCCAATTTGCCAGAAGAGGGAGTCCATCCACACTAAGAATGGGATTTTGCTCCCCAATAGAACTGCCCCCTTTAGATTTCATACCAGACTCATGTTTGTACCTGCTGCATGTCTGCCAGAACTGATTTTTTTCAATCATTCAGGAGGAGCAGCACTGAAATAGCACTACTCTCTTCACTTTCACCCCTAACGTGCAGACAGCATATTATGACTGACAGGAGCAAAGCCTACAAGTATGCATCAGCAGCAGGGAAAAGTGACCAAGAGAAAAATAAATACGAAAGCTTGCAGCAGGAAGGCAATCTAGAGAAGAGGGAGGATGGCACCTTTTAAAATTTGTTTTCATTTGAAAAATACTGCTAATATATGGTTTTCTTTTCCAATTATCTGTGGGGAAAATACATTTAAAATAATGGAACTCTCACTTTTATAACTGAATAAAAAATAAGGGGTTTTCTGCTTATTCTTTGTCACTTATTTAAAATGCCTCTCCCCCCAAAAAAACACCTTTTCAGATAGAGGAAGATCCTTTAGAATAAACCTCTAAATTTGTTCTAAAATGTGCACTTTAATACTTTACCCTTGGTTTCGTATTGCCCATTTCCCAGCCCTTGTCTTCTTTAGACTAAGATCTTCAGGGTGGGGGCAATCTTTTATTATGTGTCTGTGTAGCACCTATCACAAGAGGGCACCAATTTCCGTTGAGGCCTCTAGGTGCTATTCTGATACATATAAGTAAATAAAGACAACAGGAATCCCTGGTTGATAGCAGAGGCAGGGGTGGCTCTGGGCTGATGTGTGGAACACAGCCAAGCAGACAGAATTCACAGGTATAGGGCACTGCACTAAGTGAAAATCGGCCTTTACCTCTATAAGTATGTTGAGTTGGTGAGAAAAGAGCAGGATCCACAACAGACGTTACTTCTAATTAGGAGCAAGATCCAAATCCATTAGCTGGCTGCTGGCAGGAATTACTTGTTGGCGAGATAGCCAGCTGCTTCTTAAGAGTTACACGAAGCAGTGGAAAAGCTTTTATCACAGAATGATGTCAGGTGTACAGTACAGTTAAGACACTGGCTTATTTCTCTAGCAGCTGCAGTAGCATGCTTTCCTCACATACTTCTAGTTCCTGAATATATATCTGGGTGATAGGATAGGACTGAGGGAGGGGAGCCAAAAGTAGCTACTTCTGGGAAAATATCCTCTTCTTTCCCTCTTTCCAACAGTTATGGCCCTAGGAGCTAGCAAGCCAGTGCCCAACCGTCATCCCAATCAGCCAGCTGGTTGGAGGTTTTGATTTCCTTTCCCTGCAAATTACCTACTAGAATGCTCCTCTTGTCTCCTCACTGGCTCCTTCATTTTCACTTACCTGCTGCAGAGGAGGAATAATAAATAAAATAATAATAAAAAAGAAAGACGGGGGAGGGGATTTCCTCTATGTCCCTGTATAGCAATTGGGTTACTGCCTGTCAAGTATCTGCTGTGTTCAGTGTGAGAACAAAGAATGACTCCAACCCCTGCCTTCAACCAGGAAATGGAGGAAAGGGCTAGAAAACAAGCAACATAATTTAAAGTGTAAAGTTGTAAAGCCGAAGTTTTAAAACATACTCAAATTTCAGGTGTGTCTACTCTATGGGAACTTTCTATATTTAAAAAGGGCAGTTGGAAGTTGAGAGAGGAACAAATGTTATGCTCACAATTCACAAGTACTACTGTGCATATCTGAAACTCAAAGAAGATACAATTTACTTTCAGAGCTCACCCACAAATGAACTATAGAACTTTCCCTTATTAGACTCATCCAATCTGTATTCCTAGATGGTATTAAGGAGTCCAAACATGTTCACTATTGACTGAACATCCATTCTGTCACACTACATTAATTTTAATAGACCCTCTTGCCAATACACCTTAGTAACAATGTGCTCAATCTGATTTTCTCTGCCCACCATAAATTCTAGGGCGAATTAGGAAAGGGTCTGTTAAAGGATGATACAGGCCATTCTTTTGTGATGGTCTGCAGTTTTCTCTCCCAATACATTTTCTTTTTATTTAGCACTTCCATTTTTATCCTGTGTTCCTCTTCAGCCATCTCACACTCCCTTTCTATCTGTTGTATTTTTGCCACATGCACTTCATTCATTTGTATCAGCTGCAGTTGTAAAATTGACATTTGCTGGTGATGCTCTTCCTCATGCATCTTTTTCAAAGCACCCTCCTGAGTGGCTTTACTTCGGTAGTTTTTATTCGCTGTTATTCTGACAGCTGAACATGAGGGCTCAGGTTGGGAGGTGCCTTCACATATTGGGAAATGTACTATCTCTTTCTCTTCATCACACAGTTCTCTGTTTGAGACAGCAAATGATTCTGCAAAAAACAGCAAAAAAATGGTAAGATACCCTCTTTTTTTCAAACAGCGTGATTGTGTAAGGAATAACACAGTCATCAGTCAACACATGCATACCTTGTGCTTCTGTAATGTAATGTAGGCGCCACCAGGTGATACAGTTATCTAAATATTTAGCATTCCCTTTATATTTTGACAGAGCATGTGATAAGATCTTCAGTCTTTCTCCTACAATTGTATCTGAGGTAAGGAAGCACTGGCTCTTACACTAAACTAGAGATTTAGTATGCTATTTATCCCTTAGGCACCACTCCCGTAAACCCCAGAAGTATGCATTTTTAAATCGATTTATGTAGCACCCAATTACATCAACCTTACCTTGAGATGTGCCTTATTAGTGCCATTGAAATAAATAGGACTATTTGTTCAACAAAACACTACTGAGACTAAAGGCGTTAGGAAATAGGAGTACTGTTACAGATCATCACCGTGTGTGTACCATAAATAGAATATTAACAATTACAAAAACAAACAGACCACTTTGTTTAGAGAAATATTAGGTAACAATGAAGTCAACTTTTTCTTTTTAGCAGGGAATACCAAGTTACAGGACAATCCTTCTTACACAACCCAAGGCACATTGTCTTACCTTATTTGTGCAAAGAACTATATTTAGACAACAAAAGCAATGCAAATCCATTATACTTATTTCATTTGGTATTTTTTTTAAAATAGTAATATTTCTTTAGCAGGTGAGTGCATTCTCTCTTAGTAGTGAATAAATGGTAACCAAATGCTATGGTAATAAAAATAAGTAATAATCACTACGTATCTCCCCTTTCTCTAATTTTACTGGGTATGTACGAGATACACTTTTTATAACACTTTTTTAGTCATTTATTTAATTTGGTCAATTGTTTCATTTCCAGTGACAAGCAACCAATACTCTAGTGCAGGGGCGGCCAACCTGTGGCTCTGGAGCCACATGCGGCTCTTCAGAAGTTAATATGCGGCTCCTTGTGCAGGCACCGACTCCGGGGCTGGAGCTACAGGTGCCAACTTTCCAGTGGGCCAGGGAGTGCTCACTGCTCAACCCCTGGCTCTGCCACAGGCCCCGCCCCCACTCCACCCCTTCCTGCCCCCTCCCCTGAGCCTACAGTGCCCTCACTCCTCCCCCTTCCCACCCCCGAGCCTCCTGCACGCCACGAAACAGCTGATCAGGAGGTGTGGGGAGGTAAGGAGGGGGCAGGGCTGCCAGTGGGTGGGAGGTGCTGGGAGCGGGGGTGGGGGAGCTGATGGGAGGCTGCTGACATATTACTGTGGCTCTTTGGCAATGTACATTGGTAAATTCTGGCTCCTTCATAGGCTCAGTTTGGCCACCCCTGCATCTACTAACCGATGAGAGATTAATTCTTTATTTCTTTGAATAAGACCATCTCTACCAGTGGCTCTTTTGGTTTTCAAGTGCATCTCAGTGCTTTCATAAATTGAAGCAATGCATTATTGCGTAAAAATAGATCTAGTGGCCCCTTCAAAGCTCCCTTCTGTGCCATACTAATCAGAGCCAGTGAAGGAACTAATTCCCTATAATGCAAGGGGTATAGTAGATGCCCTCCTGCAGGGTCACCCCACCTGTACTCTCAATGAATAAAGGCCGGCCTTGCTACTGCTCATCTTCTCTCACAAATGTCTCAAGTATTCTTCCATGCTGCTTCTTTCAAAATATATCTGCCAGCCTTCCATCTCATTCAAATCCTTCCTAAAACCCCTCTCAGTACATAGTTTACCAAAAACGTGTTTTAACACCTTTCTTGACCTATCAGGACATATGTATGTCTAACCTGAAGCAATGTTTAATTGTGTCTTTAGCCTATGCCCTTCCTTGCCCCTTTTCTTCCAGGTTGTAACTTCACTTGTCCCTTAGGACTATAATCTAAACAGAAGCTTTTTGGAGCATGGACTTGTCTTATGTTTCCTGTGAAGTATATACCACACTTGTGTACACTACAAAATAAAATAATAAATACTAATAATCTTGTAGAAATACTGGAAATCAGTGATTTTTATCTGGAAAGCAACTGATTGGTTATGTGGAGTTATATCTAAGTAGTAATGAAAAAGGATTATTTTTGTACATTATGTAAGTGGCTTCAAGCCATCTGTGCACTTTCAGTGGAATATATTTTATTCATTTCCCCTCTAGAAGCACAGGTAATAGATTTTATTTTGGCAGTGGAACTGCGTGCATGGGCGGTGAGAAATGCTGGGGCTATTTGTCTTCTCATGGCACTGGAGCAGGAAATAGCTCACTAGGCAATTTGTTTAAAGATTTGGATCACCACCCAGTCTCTTAAAAAAAAAAATTAACCAGTGAAGCTCAGAAAACTGTCTGAATTTCAAGAAGTTTCAGTATGCCAAACCAATGTCCCCAAATCTGTTGTCCTTTCGATAAGCTAAAATGAGATAGCGCTAGAGTTTGTTTATCCTATTCTAATAGGACTGGAGTTTTGGTGCCTGGAAATCAATATTATTTCCATTTGCATTCAATAAAATGGCACTTTCTGTGACAAATCGTGCAACAGAAAAGGATCTACAGAATGGGAAACTGTTTAGCTGCTGTGGATGAATGATAACCATTAAGATGGTAGTCTGGCTCGTTCACTAGTTCAAGAGGTAGGAAATCTTTCAGGGTGAGTAGCACCTCTATCTCACAGGATGTAACATCTTCTAGTTTTTATCCCACACTCTTTCTGTAGGAGGTTGAATACCACAACTGAGATATTTACCTGAGTGGAGAAGAGGGATAAATGAGTCAATATTTTAAAAAATCAGGGACAAAAAGGATTGGCAGTTTCAAAGTTTAAAGTGCACTAGTGCGCTACACTATTACATCAAGTCTTCATGGTGCCACAGGATGGAGAAGGAGATGACATGTTTAAGGTGAGCTATTTACAAGAGAGAGTGCCAGGGTCAACATACTAACCTTTGGTTCAAGTTGCATTAAATTTTTATATTGAAAAGGTTTACTTAAGAATATAAGAATGGCCACACTGGGTCAGACCAAAGGTCCATCTAGCCTAGTATCCTGTCTTCCGACAGTGGCCAATGCCAGAGGACCCAGAGGGAATGAACAGGTAATCATCAAGTGATTCATCCCCCATTGGCCATTCCCAGCTTCTGGCAAACAGCGGCTAGGGACACCATTCCTGCCCATCCTGGCTAATAGCCATTGATGGACCTATCCTCCATGAACTTATCTAGTTATTTTTTGAACCCTGTTATAATCTTGGCCTTCATAACATACTTTGGCAAAGAGTTCCACAGACTGACTGTGTGTTGTGTGAAAAAATACTTCCTTTTGTTTGTTTTAAACCTGCTGCCTACTAATTTCATTTGGTGACCCTTAGTTCTGGTGTTATGAGAAGGAGTAAATAACACTTCCTTATTTACTTTCTCCACACCAGTCATAATTTTATAGCCCTCTATCAAATCCTGAGTTAGTAGTCTGTTTTCCAAGCTGAAAAGTCCCAGTTTTATTAATCTCTCCTCATAGAGAAGCCATTCCATATCCCTAATCATTTTTGTTGCCCTTTTCTGAACCTTTTCCAATTCCAAGATAGCTTTTTTGAGATGGGGTGACCACATCTGCGCACAGTATTCAAGATGTGGGCGTACCATGGATTTATATAGAGGCAATATGATATTTTCTGTTTTATTATCTATCCCTTTCTTAATGCTTCCCAACATTCTGTTCACTTTTCTGACTGCTGCTGCACATTGTGTGGATGTTTTCAGAGAACTATCCACAATGACTCCAAGATCTGTTTCTTGAGTGGTAACAACTAATTTAGACCCCATCATTTTATATGTATAGTTGGGATTATGTTTTCCAATGTGCATTACTTTGCATTTATCAACATTGAATTTCATCTACCATTTTGTTCCCCAGTCACCCAGTTCTGTGAGATTTTTTTGTAGCTCTTCACAGTCTGCCTGGGACAACTATCTTGAGTAGTTTTGTATCATCTGCAAATTTTGGCACTCATTGTTTACCCCTTTTTCCAGATCATTTTAGTAACATCACTATTTACCTCTCTCCGTTCTGAAAACTGACCATTTATTCCTACCCTTTGTTTTCTATCTTTTAATCAGTTACCAACTCATGAGAGGACCTGCCCTCTTATCCCATGACAGCTTACTTTGCTTAAGAGCTTTTGGTGAGGGACCTTGTCAAAGGCTTTCTGAAAAATCTAAGTACACTATATCCACTGGATTCCCCTTGTCCACATGTAGTAGATTGGTGAGACATTATTTCCCTTTACAAAAAAAACCATGTTGACTCTTCCTCAACCAATTATGTTCATCTATGTGTCTGACAATTTTGTTCTTTACTATAGTTTCAACCAGTTTGCCCAGTACTGAAGTCAGGCTTATCGGCCTGTAATTAATTGCCAGAATCACCTCTGGAGCCCTTTAAAAAAATTGGCGTCACATTAGGTATCCTCCAGTTACTGGGTACAGAAGCTGATTTAAATGATAGGTTACAGACTACAGTTAGTAGTTCTGCAATTTCACATTTGAGTTCCTTCAGAACTCTTGGGTGAATGCCATCTGGTCCTGGTGACTTATCGCTGTTTAGTTTACCTATTTGTTCCAAAACCTCCTCTAATGACAGCTCAGTCTGGGACAGTTCCTCAGATTTGTCACCTAAAAAGAATGGCTCAGGTTTGGGAATCTCCCTCACATTCTCAGCTGTGAAGACCGATGCAAAGAATTAATTTAGTTTTTCCGCAATGGCCTTATCGTCCCTGAGTGCTCCTTTAGCCTCTTGATCGTCCAGTGGCCCCACTAGTTGTTTAGCAGGCTTCCTGCTTCTGATGTACTTAAAAAAAAATTTGCTATTACTTTTGAGTTTTTGGCTAGCTGTTCTTTGGAAAACAATCTCAACTATACATATAAAATGATGGCGTCTAAATTAGCTTTAACTACTCATGAAAGAGATCTTGGCGTCATCATGGATAGTTCTCTGAAAACATCTGCTCAATGTGCAGCAGTAGTCAAAAAAGCGAACAGAATGTAAAAAAACATTAGGAAAGGGATAAATAAGACGGAAAATATCATAATCCCACTATATAAATCCATGGTACACCCACACCTTAAATACTGTGTGCAGATGTGGTCACCCCATCTCAAAAAAGATATATTAGAATTGGAAAAAGTTCAGAGAAGGGCAATAAAAATGATGAGGGGTATGGAACAGCTTTCATATGAGGAGAAATTAAAAAGACTGGGACTGTTCAGCTTGGACAAGAGACGACTAAGGGGGGATATGACAGAGGTCTATAAAATCATGAGTGGTGTGGAGAAACTGAATCAGGAAGGGTTATTTACCTTTTCATATAAGAACCAGGTGTCACCCAATGAAATTAATAGGCAGCAGGTTTAAAGCAAAGATAATGAAGTATTTCATCACACAATGCACAGTCAGCCTGTGCCACTCATTGCCAGGGGAAGTTGTGAAGACCAAAAGTATAAGTGGTTCAAAAAAGAATTAGATAAGGTCATGAAGGAGAGTCCATCAGTAGTTATTACCCAAGATGGTCAGGGATGCAACATCATGCTTTGGGTGTCCCTAATCCTCTGACTGCTAGAAGTTGGGATGGGATGACACATGATGGATCACTTGATAAACTGTCCTCTTCTGTTCATTTTCTCTGAAGCATCTGACACCGGCCCCTGTTGGAAGACAGGATACTGGGCTAGATGGATGATTGGTCTGACCCAGTATGGCCATTCCTGTGTTTAGAAAGTTGGTTTTACAGTATTTTATCTGCATGCTGTCATGCTACTATATTATGTTCTGTGTGAGATATGTAGAGGTTTTTAAAGTTGTTAGAATAGATTTATTCCACTGCAGTGACAGTCCAGAAAAAGATGTGGAAAGTTTTGTGGGTTTTTTATATATTTTATTAAGAGTTCATTTAAAAAAATAAAAGGCTGGAGGGAAGCATAGGGAATTCTTGCCTCAGAGGATAATATCTAAACTTGCTGCTTGTGAGGAAGAAAATAGCTGGTGATCAAACAAGCAAAATGATGCTTTTTAAACAATCAGAAGTGCCCTTTGGGACTTTCCTCTTCCTCTTGTGTGTGATGGCTATCAGGAAATAGATGATCGGTCCCCATCTGGAAAGGTCAGCTGTTTAAATGATAACCAGTAACTTTAAAATGTACATAGTTTTCTTCACACTTGTAAAAAGAATCAGATTTTACTACTGTGTATCTAGTGAAATATACAGAAGGCCTCAGTATTTTTGCTGTGAAATGACTTTTTAATAGCCAGCAATAAAATTTTAAATAGATTTACACTGCTAAATTGAACCCCTCTACAAATAGAATAAATAATGAAAATGCATACACACCCTTAACTAGAACAGTGTTACTTGGATCACTATAGTAGCATTTATACCTTGGTTAGAAGCATCAGGTTGATATTCAGAATCTTCTTCTGGTGGACTCTGTAAAAAGTACATTTGCTCAGGCATCATGCTGGCAATCTTCTCTTTCCCTATGATGTGAGTATTTATAAGTGGACTAATACTTCTTTTTACTTTCTCACGTCTTTCATGTGCCATTATCTTTTTTGTCCGGGCCTTGATATTTTCCCAGCATTTCTTTAACTGCTTGAAATCTCGTAGTGATACACTAGGTTGAGAATTATATTCATGGGCAAGCGCTTGCCAAGTACGTTGTTTCAATGCAATAGTTCTTGCATCGCTTTTTTTACACTCAAGTACATATTTGTATTTTTCAACTAATGCAAGCAGCACACTCTTTTCCACTTCTGAGAAGTATTTAGCAGGTTTTATTATTTCGTGGTTTTGCATTTTCTACTGTTTCTCTAGGAAGCCAAAAAATCCTATAAAAACAAAATGTAAAAACAAATAAGGATTGGTTGTTCATTCCGGCATCAAATAATTATATATCAGCAAAGGATTCCAAAATTATGCCTTCAGTTAATAATTTCTAAAGTTGTAATTCTACAAGGCCTCCTTTTTTATATGATAGCTGAATAAAATGTTGGGATAACTAGACAAAATATTCAGGTTATCTATAGTATAAATATCAGCTCTTATACAACAACACCTAACTAAACTGTAATGTAACAAGCACATGATACAGGATAAGCTTCCCACCTTAATTATGATTGACAGGCCAGCGATGCCACTGTATCATAACATTAAATAACTATGTGTAGCTATAAAAGTGTTTAACTTATAGAAATAATTTGATTTAAAAGGGATATCCAGAGGGTCATCTACGCTACCCCCGTCATTCCAGCAAGTGAGATTTTAGAATTGTTACTGCATAATTGCTGGCTTAATGTCTAAATCTAGCCGTGAATAGCTCCAGTGAAAAGGATTCCACAACTTTTTTTGCAGCTGGTTTCCTTGTTTATCTAATGGTTGTAAAGTTTGCCTAAAATTGAACATACATTTTTCCTGCAGCATTTTAAAACAATTATTTTTGTTCCATCCTTGCTGATTGAGAATAACCAGCCTCTATCCTCTTCCCAACAAACCTTTCTAATGTTAAAATTCATGGCTCTACAATAATAGCGCAAATTATAATATCCCAATTATAAAATGCGGTGTTTTGGGCTTGCTATAGAAGTAGTCAAAAGATTTTTGAAACATGATCAAATATCTTGAAATGTATTTGTTTATTGTAATTTTCTTTTAGTCAATATGTTTTCCCCCAAGTGTTCTAAATCACTCAGTCTTATTTCATTCTACAATATTATAGGACAGAGAATTCTGCCTTTCTACAGAAAGCCCTATTGGAGGACTAAAGATATTTGGAAAAATATCATGAAGTTGGGAAGAGACAGGGTTTGAATCAGTAGACTTGAATGCATTTATGGAGAGGGCCAGCCTCTCTGGGTATGTCTACATGCAATGTAAGCCTGGGTTCGGATTCAGATTTGAGCCTAAACCCTCCTTCCATTTACACACAAATCTGTCTGAATCAGGACAGTAAGCCATCTGGACCTAAGAGCCGGTGGGGGTGGGCCCGAGCCAGAGTCCAAACTATCATTTGCAGCATGAATGCAAATTAAAGGAATTGGCACATGAAATTGCAAGCCCATTATCAAGAATTTTTAATGAATCTGTAAACTCAGGGATTGTACCGTATGACTGGAGAATTGCTAACATAGTTCCTATTTTTAAGAAAGGGAAAAAAGGTGATCCGGGTAACTACAGGCCTGTTAGTTTGACATCTGTAGTATGCAAGGTCTTGGAAAAAATTTTGAAGGAGAAAGCAGTTAAGGACATTGAGGTCAATGGTAAATGGGACAAAATACAACATGGCTTTACAAAAAGTAGATCGTGCCAAACCAACCTGATCTCCTTCTTTGAGAAAGTAACAGATTTTTTAGACAAAGGAAATGCAGTGGATCTAACTTACCTAGATTTCAGTAAGGCATTTGATATGGTGTCACGTGGGGAATTAGTAGTTAAATTGGAAAAGATGGGGATCAATATGAAAATTGAAAGGTGGTTAAAGGGGAGACTACAGCGGATCTTACTGAAAGGTGAACTGTCAGGCTGGAGGGAGGTTACCAGTGGAGTTCCTCAGGGGTCGGTTTTGGGACCAATCTTTTTATTACTGACCTCGGCACAAAAAGTGGGAGTGTGCTAATAAAGTTTGCAGATGATACAAAGCTAGGAGGTATTGCCAATTTAGAGAAGGACCAGGATATCATACAGGAGGATCTGGATGACCTTGTAAACTGGAGTAATAGTAATAGGATGAAATTTAATAGTGAGAAGTGTAAGGTCATGCATTTAGGGATTAATAACAAGAATTTTAGTTAGAAGCTGGGGATGCATCAATTAGAAGTAACGAAGGAGGAGAAGGACCTTGGAGTATTGGTTAACCACAGGATGACTATGACGCCAATGTGATATGGCCATGAAAAAAGCTAATGCGGTCTTGGGATGCATCAGACGAGGTATTTCCAGTAGAGATAAGGAGGTGTTAGTACCGTTATACAAGGCACTGGTGAGACCTCACCTGGAATACTGTGTGCAGTTCTGGTCTCCCATGTTTAAGAAGGATGAATTCAAACTGGAACAGGTACCGAGAAGGGCTACTAGGATGATCCGAGGAATGGAAAACCTGTCTTCTGAAAGGAGACTCAAGGAGCTTGGCTTGTTTAGAGCCTAACCAAAAGAAGGTTGAGGGGAGATAAGATTGCTCTCTATAAATATATCAGAGGGATAAATACTGGAGAGGGAGAGGAATTATTTAAGCTCAGTACCAATGTGGACACAAGAACAAATGGATATAAACAGCCTATCAGGAAGTTTAGACTTGAAATTAGACAAAGGTTTCTAACCATCAGAGGAGTGAAGTTCTGGAGCAGCCTTCCAAGGGAAGCAGTGGGGGCAAAAGACCTATGTGGCTTCAAGATTAAACTTGATAAGTTTATGGAGGAGATGGTATGATGGGATAACATGATTCTGGCAATTAATTGATCTTTAACTTTTCATGGTAAATAGGCCCAATGGCCTGTGATGGGATGTTAGATGGGGTGGGATCTGAGTTACTACAGAGAATTCTTTCCTGGGTATCTGGCCAGTGAATCTTGCCCATATGCTCAGGGTTCAGCTGATTGCCATATTTGGGATCGGGAAGGAATTTTCCTCCAGGACAGATTGGAAGAGGCCCTGGCGGTTTTTCACCCCCCTCTGTGGCATGGGGCATGGGTCACTTGCTGGAGGATTCTCTGCACCTTGAAGTCTTTAAACCATGATTTGAGGATTTCAATAGCTCATACATAGGTGAGAGGTTTATTGCAGGAGTGGGTGGGTGAGATTTTGTGGCCTGCATTGTGCAGGAGGTCAGACTAGATGATCATAATGATCCCTTCTGACCTTAATATCTATGAGTCTATGAGCATGGATGCAGCTTGGGCCTGGTTCCCCAGATACATCCTGAAAGTCCACCAACAGTATATTCCACGGTCCTATGGACCAGTGTTCTTTGGCCTTTCTATCCCATGACTAGCCAACTCCCAGGAAACGGAAGCAACCCCCCCAGGTTCAAGTATAGGTGCTCATCGTTTAACCTTTCCATTTTTTCTGATCTCTGACCTGGAAACAGAGTGAACCATCTCACGTGTTAGCTATGCCAACTGATAAGAAGTCCTTTGCTGAGCACGCTGCTACCTGGTCATGGGACCACAGTCAGATTCTGGCAAATCTCTAGTGTGATGAGAGCAAGAGGTTCAGCTTCAATAAGAGTGCCAGAAATAACCATGTGTACCAAGAAATGTTGGAGAACCTGGCAGCACAGGAGTGTGTTCTCTATTATGAGTCCAGGCAGTCCCTGTGGTAGGTATATAATCCATGTGTGCAGGATTAAGAGGCCATATTGTTGGGCGGAGGGGTGCATAGAGTCCATAGACAGCTATAGTCCAAGCAGGCTACATCGTGAGCCATAGCTGCACCAGGGTAACTGCATGAATGCAGACAGCTTTCAGCAGCTCACAGAAGGCAGTAATCCATGTGGAAGCTTGCGCAGCATCTTGCTGATTTCATGTATTTTCATCCAACCCCAGGTGCTGATAGTTGCAAACTTTTCCTACATTAGACACTCCAGATGGGAGTCACATTTTGGGGAAAGGCACACTGGTTGGGCCCTCCTCTGTAAGTCACCAGCCCATTCCCCTTCTAGATGTGTTGTCAGTCACAAAAACCTCATTAGCATACAAGGTGGCTTGCACCTGGTAGCTTGAGGCAGAATATCCCTTTGCCATTCAGGAACCTCCAGAATCATTATGTCCTCTAGAAGGTTGAATGCTTGAAAGGATTGTGAAAACATGTAGAAAACCCTGGCAAAGGGCATCACCCTCACACCTCCCCAAGGCTGAAATTGTCTGCAATATTTAAAAAAAGATAGATCAGTTGTAAATTTCACTGTACCATTAGGTGTAAAGGCTTTACACTCCACTTAATTCTCAAGTGTTTCCATGGAGCCTCGGGGAAACCCTTGTTCTCGGAATATACTGAAGCACTCTTTTACAAAGTATCATTTTTTGGCCTTGAGATTTCAAGGACACTTTTGGTGGTGATGTAGTGAACCTTTTCTGAAGCATGGACACAATAATGTCCTGTTTCATTTCTGTTTTCAGGCCCTTCTATCTCTGCAGGACAGCCACAGTCCGGCAGAAGCTGGGGATGTCACAATGCGATCAAAGAGGAAATGTGTCCACAACAGCTTTATGGTGCACATCATGGACAGGGCCAGCCAGCAGTTTCAGTACCAGAGGGAGAAGGATTCACAACAAATTGAAAGGCAAAGTCTGATGAAAGACTTTCAGCGAAGTTCCTTCAGCAGGAAAAAGGAGGGGAAAAGACACAGCACAGCAGAAAGACCAGTTTGAGAGGCTGCTTGTGCTAATGACTGGGAGAGTGCAGGCCTCCATTTCACCTACACTTCCTGTGCCAGCACCATGGCTGGTGTCCCCTCCATGCTACCATGTCCTGCAGATCAGGAACCCATTGGATAATTTTGTGCTTGGGTGGCCCAAGCAACCAGGACTGAATGCTAGTTGGACTGGGCAAATGTACCCCGTGTAATCTTCCACACCTGTGCAGTCCTCTACCCCTCTGCAACAGCGCCAAGTGCATGCAAAATGCACTAGAAGGGCAAAGAACATGGGGCTGCGGACACTCTGAAGTAGGGGAATCTTTTTTTTTTTTTTTTGTGGCACTGGTTTCACAGGTTTAGATAGCTCACTGTTTGAGATACGCACTTTTTTATTTTGTTTTGGTCATTTCCTGGCAACTGGCTTATACATTTTTAAAATAGTAATTTTTAATACATTCATGTTAACATATAAAGGCTTTG